ATATATATATATATATATATATATATATATATATATATATATATATATATATGACGGAGCAATGATCTGGGATAATCTAACGGGCTCTGGAACCAGAACTGCTCCCCCAACAACTACAAACAATCGCACTGGGATGGTCCAATAGTGGAAAATATTGCCTCAACAATGCTTCAGAGTGTGTCAGGGAAGGATAGAGCCCGCCTCCTGGCAGTGAGAGCCCCTCATGCTGGGGACTTTCTGTTGGCTGTTCCCAACTCCAGCCTTGGCACACGTCTCGACCCACAGACCATCCGCATCGTTGTTGCCCTTCGACTTGCCGCCCCTATTCTCGCCGAACACAGGTGTATTTGTGGCAGTGAAGCAGCAGACCGATTTGGGTACCATGGTCTTGTGGGCCGTAAATCCGAGGGAAAGATTGCAAGACATGAGAAGGTTAATAACATTATCAAGAGGAGCCTCACAACAGCTGGATGCCCAGCAGTAAGGGAGCCACCCCAACTACGCAGATCTGATGGCAGCCAGAAGCGTCCAGATGGTATCACCCTTCAAGCCTGGACAGATTGGAAGCAGGTGGTGTGGGACTATACATGTGCATCTACCTTGGCTGATACCTATCTCCAATACACCAGGGAAGAAGGAGGGGCAGCTGCAAGACTCAGGGAGTCCCAAAAATCTAGAAAATATGGAGAACTTGCCCATCATTATATGTTTGTTCCCATAGGCTCAGAGACCCTTGGCTCATGGGGAAAGAGTGCATCTAAATTCCTTAAGGAGCTGGGAAAAAGACTCATCAGGGTAACTAGGGATCCCAGGGCAGCTAGTTTCCTGTTCCAGCTCTGAGGAGCTGGATGACATTTACGCCTTATAATCGGTGATACACACTTTACAACATGTACCATATATGCCACCTTTATATCAACAATGTATCTCTTAAATCTTCTGTACCATATTATGTAATAAAATATTCCTATTAGTAAAAAAATATATATATCAAAAGATGGGGTGGTAGGGGAAGTGGAATATTCAAACGGCTTCAGGAAGAAATCCAAATATTCTTCCTTGAAGCCTTTTTATCCACTTCTCCGAGGCTATGGGTCCCACAATTTACACCAAAGGTGGACCCCATCCTATATATATATATATATATATATATATATATATAATATATATATATATATATATATATATATATATATATATATATATATATAAATATATATATATACATATATATTTTAAATATATATATAATATATATATATATATATATATATATATATGTATATGTATATATATATATATATATATATATATATAATTATAAATATATATATATATATATACATACTTCATAAAATATATATATATATATATATTTTTTTTTTATTTTTTTTTTTTTTTTTAATATAGGGAAATACCACCTCTATGGCTAGGAAATGGGACCCTCCCTCCTCAGAGAAGCAATAAACGTCCGCAGAGAAAACTCAAAGGTTCTCCCCGGAGCTGTTTTGAATATTTTCTTTTCCTACCACCCCCTATATGTTTATTATTCTATAATAAAATATATATATATATTATATATATATATATATATATATATATATATTATATATATATTATAATATATATATATATTATTATATAATTATTACACAATCGTCTCAACAAAAACTCACGACCCAGACCTTCCCACAGAAACTCAAATGCAGTGCTAGGCACGACAGAACTGGTGCAGGCACGTTTCACTTAAGATTTCTGGAGCCCGGTTTAAATGCCTAGTTATTGTAGCGGTGACAGTGCTGACGTTTATCGTCTTGCTGGAGTAAACATCAGCTGATCCCTTACCCACACCTGCTATTCATGGAAAAGAAACCTACTCATCTCGTCGCTGTTCTCAGACGCTGTAGAGACCTAATAATGGTATTATTATGATTTATACATACGTTAAATCAGTCTTGGCAGCAGTGTCGTCTCAGTAATAGTGTATGGTGTGTGCACTTGCCCGCTCTCCACACAGGCGTTCGTGATAACAGGTGTCATAGATGGTAACGTGTGTGACTGAGTTTGAGTACAGGTCTAACTACGTATAACGGCACAAACATACATAGTAACGTGTGAATTACCTAGGATAATCCAAAGAAGTCAGGCAAAGTGACTTATTTCATTGTCATTGCAGCATAGCTAATTAGCAGTGTTTTTATTAAGCCCTCATAAATTACCATCACAAATATGTGTTAACTTCTGTTCTCTTCTATTAATGTACAGGGGAAAGTTCATATTACATGTTTACAATCCTTGCTGTTAAGTAACCCATATATTGCATGCAAGCTCCTGACTTTTTTATACAGTTCTAATTTGTCTTATTTTTTGCAAACCTTTTGTGAGAATATTCCATTGAATTTTACCCACTGATTCCTCTGTGTACCTGTGTGTGTTATATTTTATTGGCATTGCCTCAAAGGTGCATCTATGCAGTGAGTTATATAATTGTGCTTGTTCT